TTAGGCCCAATCCTAGTCATTCCTACCTGGGGCCTGATCATTGGTTTGAGATCTCCTCCTCTATTCTCTAAAGCATTGTTGAAATTTGGGTGTGGCTAATTTGTATGTGAACCTGTAGTGTCCTGTGGATTCCCAGCTCCTCACTAGACGAAGAAGGCAGTGATGATGGTGAGACCACTCCATCGTGATCCTAGTGAGAGGGGAAGACCAACATGCTGTTACTCCTGGTGTGAACAAGTCTGCCTCTCAGTTCAGCAGCTATTCCCAGTTTGCGCTCTGCGCACACCTATTAAGGCTCCAACTGGGATCAGGATAAACACCCAGTAGAGGAAAATCTGTTGCCTTCTGTTTTCCTCCTGAGTTTTATCTAGGGATCTCCAAAGCTGATCAAAAGTAGATTAACTTTTTTTTTTTTCTTGTAAATGTTTCCTGTATCTTCACACCAGATGCATCCACCTTCCATGGCCTGGCACTGGGAAAATCCAACCCAGGACACACCTGGAAGATGAGGGTCATCAATGTATGTGTTACTTTGTTTTAAGTCTGAATTAAGGATAGTTTTGACAATACCACATAGTATTATTAAGAAGACTAACCTCAGTCCATATCACCAAATACAACTCCCTGTGGACCCTTTGACCACAAGATGTTCAAGTTTGCTTACTAGACAATTACACGTGCAGAGGAGCAGGAAAGCCTCAGGAGCACCATTCTCGTGTGATTATGTAGAGTAGCCTTTAAGGGAATTGCTGAAAGTCTTCCTCCTCGTGTCCCCTTTCTTACATAAATCATGACTGCGCTCAGCAAGAAGTGCATTGAGGGTCTTAGAGAAGCATTCGACCCATAACAGGACTCAAGTTACTGCCATACCTTGTTGTTAGACTTTCAGCTACTTTTTCCATAGGTAACTGCTTTATAGCATCTATGTTAAAATTTGAAACATGACCCACATAACCAATAACAATAACTATCATGGGGTTTTCTATTTTTTTAAATAAAAAGCCAAGAAATGTATGTTCAGAAGTTGCTCTGGGCCTCAATGACATCAAAGCAGGCCTGTAAGAATGGGCCTAGAGAACTAAAAGCAGCCCTTTTTCATTCTTTAATGTTATTTAAACATTCCTTGAGAATAAAATATATTTACAATTTAAAATATTAGTATAAATGTATAATGATAAAGTCTGTTTATCTTGGAGTCAGGTTCATATAACTTATATATTCCTCATTTTCAAATAAAAAATTGGAGGTAATGTGACTGTGTTACCCATGCAATAAGTGTGGTTAGTATCAGTATAGTAAGAAGTGTGAGTATCAGTATAATTTTAAGCCTAAAATTGGTGCATCTTGTGCCTTTAGTCATGTTGCCTTCCAAACCTCCATACTAAACGTCAGACACATTTTCTTAACTAACAGTGACTCAACCACTGGAATGTCGTGCAGATGGAGTTGACCAGCGACTGAGTAAATTAATTATAAACACTGACGCTGATCTCTTAACTCCCTTATTAGGAAGAGGTTCCTGCCTCAAGTTGGACAGGTAAGTTCATAGATTTGATAACAGGTACATCCAAATGTGAAAGATACAGATGAGAAGAGAACTCTTGCAGCACACGGTGCTGTGTGAAGTGACTCTTTCCTGTGGTGCTGAGTGGTGAACAGCAGGCTCAGCTTGTTGGAGGAATTGTGCATGTTTGTTCCTTCTAATTATTCCTTAGTGATTCCCTCCTCTTTCTTATTCTCGTGCCAAGGGAGTTTTTAAAATATATCTTTTTATTTGCAGATGGACACAATACCTTTGCTTTATTCATTTATTTTTATGCGGTGCTAAGGACCAAACTCAGTGCCCAACACGTGCTAGGCGAGTGCTCTGCCACTGAGCCCCAGCCCCAGTCTGCCTGGGAGCTTCAGATGGACCTGCAGAGTAAAAGTGTCTGCATTCAGAGGTCAGCAGTGCTCTGTTCTAATTCTAGGGAATTAGTTCACAAGGAAAACTGCAGGAAAGTGACCATTGAAATCTTCCTGGACGAAAACAGAGTATGCTTACGGGAAGTCTTTTCATTAATCATAGATGTTTTCTACAACTTTTTCAAAATCAAAACCTGTAGAATTATTTTTATATCATTCAAAGTATACAGGAGTTAAATGTTGAAATTTTATATTTAGTTTTTTAGTTTTTAATTAATATTTTTTGGAATTGAAAATTGAATCCAGGGTGCTTAACCACTGAGCCAAAATCCAGCCCTTATTTTTTTTCCTATTTTATTTAGAGACAGGGTCTTGCTGAGTTGCTTAGTGCCTCACTAAGTTGCTGAGGCTGGCTTTGAACGCCTGGCTTTGATCCTCCTGGGCCAGCCTCTTGAGATTCTAGGATTACAGGTGTGTACCACCATGCAAATGGATAAAGAAAATGTGGTATATACATTCCATACATACATGGAATATTACTTAACCTTACAGAAGAATGAAATTATGGCATTTGCCAGTAAATGGATGGAACTGAAGAACATCATGCTAAGTGAAATAAGCCAGTTCCAAAAAACCAAAGGCCAAATGTTCTCTCCAATATATGGATGTAACCCATAGCAGGAGGGGAAGCATAGAAGTTCATTCAATTAGACACAGGGAAATGAAGGGAAGGGAGAGGGGATGGGAATAGGAAAGACAGTGGAATAAATCAGACATGACCTTCTTATGCTCACATATGGATACATGATCAGTGAAACTCCACATTGTGTTCAACCACAAGAACAAAATCGTAATGGGTTGCACCCATGTATGTATGATAAGTCAAAATGCACCCTACGGTCATGTGTATCTAAAAACAACAAATAAAATAACGTAAACAAAAGTGGAAATAATTAGAAATAAAAAACAAAAGGACCAATCAAAGTCCTGCTTGTGCAGCTGCTATACGGATCGCATCAGGTATTGGCAGACAAGGGCATTTGTTCATCGTGAGTCTGTAAGTCGTAAGTCACAAGGGAAAGCAACTTAGCAACTGTTTATAAGCCAGACCTACAAAGATCCTCAGATCAGGGCTGCGGAATGTCCATGTGGCACCATGCGTCATGGTGAAAAAAAAGACTATGTATCCTGCAGCAGAGGGCTGGGAAATCAAGAACTCCCTTGTGCTTTTAAAGTGGATCAACAGAGCTCACATGTTCAGCCTGGAGGACCCTCATGACACTCTTAATGCTGGATGGAAACCTGGCTGCAACAAAGGGAGGGGGAGAGGAATAAGAGGAACATAGAACGAAATGGTCGTAACTTTCCAGCCTTGTACTGAAAACACAACCAGAGTAACTCAGCATCACGTACAGCCCCTAGAATAGGATCCTAATTAGAAAAAGTTGTACTCCATGTAAGTATACTATGCCAAAATACTTCTACTGTCATGTAGAACTAAAAAGCAAGTAAATATAAATAAATAAACACAAATAATAAAACTAAAAAAATGAAGAAATAACTAACATTTAATTTTAGTTCTTTCAATAGAGAGTGATCTTATTGATTTTCATGAAAAATGCAGAATCCAAAATTTTGTTACTCAAATACATCTTGGTATTGCCCCAATACTTTGATAATTATTTAATTAACCATTTATCTTGAATAAGGACACATTAGTTTTTAAATGAGCTATTACAAAATAATATATGTGCATTTTTCAAATGCTTTGAGTTCTTTTTCTTGCTCCCCTTATGTGGTGGCAACGTGACCAAGTGGACAGTAAGACACACGGTTTCAGAGGAGCTAGTGCCAGAAGAAAGCCTCAGAGAACAAGGCTGAGTCCCCTATACCTTTTCCCATTTCGTCACATTGTAAAGCTGCAGAATGACAAGTTTAACGGAACAGGGCGCCGTCTATGGACAGGGACAGCATCCCTGGTTCATCCTAGGTCATGGGCCCTGCAGCCCTGCACCCTGGCTCTGTCCTCTGACTGGCTTGCGCTGACCTGGGTCAAGACGGATTCAGACAGACCCAGTGCGTCTTCACTGGGCGCAGTGGCCTGGGGGCAGGTGCCAAGACCCAGGGCTCAGGGAGAGGCCTGCTGGAGTCCAGGGGTTTTGGAAAGTAACTTTTACTGAGATTCACAAGCAACTTGGATGAAAGAGGAGAGTTGTGGAAGGCTGTGTCCTGCTCTCTGTGGAGAACTGTGATTAAAGAACGCGTTTTAAAGTTGCCCTTTTGCTATATGCTCTTATTTATCGCCAACTGCCTACTGGAACAGGGAGCACCTACTTTAAAACACTGCTTCTTGTTGGTTTAAGAAAATCATCCCAACACTTTGAACTGCCAACTGAAACAGAACGCTCTGTTTGAATATTTGCACTATTTTCTGTGTTAGTGATAGTCTTTTTTGGCGTGACTTTGGGATGTTCCAGTGCCTTCCTGGTCTACCTCAAATACCTTGTTCCCCTGCAAATGGACAGGCCTCCCTCACACCTCTGTGGCACCCCCTTTTTTGATCAGATCATTTGTTTCTCTTCCCATCAAGGGACGGGGAGCCCTTCTGGGCGCCTTGAGTCCTGCCTGGTCCCCGAGGCTGGCTTTGGTGACCGCACATCAGCAGAGGGCAGCAAGCAGAAGCTGAAACTTTCATTCCCTGCTGCTGAGGGCCCTCCACAGGACTGGACGCTGCAGGAAGGGCACTGGCAGGCCTGCTGTGGTCTTCCCAGGAGGCCAGAGGAGGCCAGGTTCCATAGAAGGCCATGGGAACTGGTCCTGCTGAGCCCACCCAGATCTGAGCTGCACAACCACCCACTGATAGGGAATGACGACCACGCCTCTCAGCTCATTGATGAGATACTGACTTCACCTTGTTTCTGTCACTGTCACCAGTGATAACAGTATCACACGGCTTCACACATGATCTCAAAGGAGCAGCAGAGACGTGCGTGTGATCCCAGGGCACAGCCTTCCATTTTCCTCCTTCTGTGGACTCAGCGTGCTGTTCTCTCTCCTCTGTCCTCAAATCCCTGAGGCCAAGTCGCAGCACTTACCTGATGGTCCTCCCAGGGTCGGCCTCTATGACCCAGGTGCAGTGCAGGTTATTGTCATAAGGTGCTGGGTAGCCGGGGGACAGTATCCGTCCTGATGTGGCAGCGGGGATCCGACCTCCACACTCAGCTGTAAGACACAGACATGGGGAGTCACTCCAGGGACCACCCTTTCTGTTGAGCTCATTGATGAACAAAACCCTGAATTAAAAATCACCTCTGAGTTACATACATGAAGAAGTGCACCAAAAGCTCCATCCTTTCTCCCACACCCCCAGCCCTTTCCTTGACACAAAGTCTTGGTCCTACAGGTCATTAAGGTGCGTGTGTAAAACAGCGGCACACCATGTGGTCATTCCCACAACTCTGTGCACACTGTCTCCACAGAGTGCCCGGGAAATGCCTTTCAAACTGGAGCACGCACAGGCACCTGCCCATCTCAGGAGTACGCACACGCTGCAGGGAGGGTGAATGCTTGTCTCTGCAGAATGGTGGCCAAGCCACCCGCAGCAACACTCTCCACCTCTCCTCACCTGGCGAAGGCCTCACCTGCTTCCCGACTCACCTACGCAGGAAGGCACTGGTCTGTCCCACACCCTGCGGTCCCCACTCAGGCAGGTCAGGGTGCTGCTGCCATGCATGGCATAGCCTGGGTTGCAGCTGAACAGGACCACGGTGTCCGTGAAGTGGCCTTCATCCCGGATCCTGTAGCCATAGTTAGGGATGCCCGGGTCCTCACACTTCACTAGGTCAAAACCTGTGCAGAGAGAGGGAAGAGTGAACGTACTCAAGGTCAAGTGCATACCCCCTTAGGTTAAAGGAGGAACAAGCACTGCCCGAGGGCTCCCTGGGGTGCAGCAAGAAGAGGAAGAGGGTGTGGTCGTGAGGAGAGGGACTCGGGTCTCAGGAGGTCTCTGTGAACCACTCCTCAGAGCTGGGGGTTGGCTGCCTCGGTGCTCCCCAGGACGTGTGCTCCCAAGCTTACCACCTGTCCACCCACACCTGTGGTCAGCACACCGCACTCCCCAGGCCTCCTCGGAGTCAGGAACCTGGCATTCCCCACATCCCTCGCTGTCACAACTCCATCTCTGAGAAGGACGCGCCTCTGTCTGTACCCCCAGGGTTCACGCAGCTGGTGCCTGCACCAGCCCAAATCGCAGCCTCCCACCTTCCTGCTAACCTCCTCCACGCTCTCAGGCCTCCGTCTTCAGGGGGTTATAAATGGATTCTGACCACAAAAGCCAGGGACTCCTGAGTCTCCACCTGCCATGTCCCCATGCCATGAGGCTCCTGAGAAACTTGGCCAGACAAAGACGCAGAAGTGAATCATAATGGAGTTGGAAAACTCAGTTGTCAAAGCAATGGAGGACAGAAAGGGAGGCTCCCCTGTGCAGGTGGCCTCATGTGGCAGACACTTAGGGCCATCTGTGAAGACAGTCTTACAGTAACGTTTCTCTTCACGTTATGATATGAATTTTAATGCTTATATAGAGTCGGAAGCTTGAGGGTCACATGTTCTGTGTACTTCTATTTCTACCTAATTTTCCTTTTCTCAAAAACAATTGAATTATGAAATAAATATGTGATTTCTCTGCCAATTGGCCTCTCCAGTTTGCATTTTGAGATAGATACCATCCACTGAGGAAAATATTCCCTGAAACTTGCAATATAGTTATACCCAGGTGGTCTCCAATCAAGATTGGGTTTTGTGGGTTGGAGCTATGGCTCAGTAGCAGCATGTGTGAGGCACTGGGTTCCATCCTTAGCACCACATAAAAATAAATAAATAAAATAAAGGTATGCTATCCATCTACAAATACACACACAAAAAAACAACTTTTTTTTTAAAGATTGGGTTTTGCGACTTCGTATAGGGAAGAGAGTACACCTGTGGGAATGTACATGGGGTTGCTGAGAAGTTTCCTTCTTTGCCAACTACAATGTTATTATCTTTGCAACAGATGATAAGACATAAGAAATGGAAACGTTAAAAGTCTGGATGTCCAGAGTGGGAGAGCAGAAGAGTGCACTGACCAGGTGTAAAGCAAGGGTGCTTCAGATGGCCCCAAGGGAGGCAGGAACAGAGAGAGGGTCCCAGTCCCACCTGACTTCAGGGACTGGCAGATATTTGGCTGTTTGAGGGAAACACTGAACTCTTGTGTCACCTGCGACCAAATCCACTGAGCACCCAGGGTTCCAATGGCCTGTGGAGCACTTGGCCGGGGCTTCTTTTGTGTCTTTTTACATGACCTGGGGGCTTGGCAAGGATGGCATCTGAACTGGGCTTTAGGAGGCAGTTCCGCCCAGGCCTGGGACCGCAGCCCTGGAGGTGGTGACTTCCACCTGCCACACTGCAGGAGGGTTCTGTCCTGACAGCAAAAATGGTACTGAAATGCTCCACCATCTCTGACTCCAGTTAGGCACCAAGTGCCAGCGGAACCCAAGATTCTGAATACGCATGAGTCAAACAAAATCCAGTTATGCAAACAACAACCCCAGAGTGCAGTGTCTACTTCTGACCAGTACCAGTGTGCCAGGGTATGAATAAGGTGACCGTCCATGTGAAGGTGACAACCCCATGCTGCTTTGCAGGTCCATCTAATGCTTACAGGCTAAGTGCTCACACACACACACACACACACGCACACACACACACACACATGGGATGAAGAGACTGCCCAAAGAAGCAGTCATTCATTTTGACAATGACTTACGTGTCTGATGCACAGAGGAGACTCTTACTTTCTTTGCAGGAGACGTTTGCCTGTGTTGATAATGACAGTGACTTTCCTGGGAGCCTCATGAACTATCTCAGTAATTTATAGCCATGAGCTCTAGAGATCATTTATAGATGTCAGTGCTCACAGTGTTACTCAGAATACGCACCTCCCTAGGTTGAGAGAGCGTGTCCTTTACATTTTCAAAGTTCTAAAATCTAGAAATATACTCATTCTAAGATTAGCTTGAAGCAGCATTTCCTCTGCCCCCAAAACTTGTCTAAGAACTTTATTTGGATCAAGGAGGAAAGAAACATCAAAAAACAAACAAGTCAACAAATAAAGACGTGTCAATAAAAACGTCTAAGAGACTTTATGTGGGTTGAACTTTCTGGAGAATTATCTGTTTTATTGTCTTTTCTATCACCCTATCTCGAAACTTGATTTTTACACCACATCCTGTCACACCGCCAAGGGAAGCTGTGTTTATGGGGCACAATTACTCTTCATCGCGGCTGTACCTGGCTTCTTCTGAAGCTTTTATTGTTTCTTCAAAAGGTCACTTAGGAAGCTGTAGCATGATGGAACGCATTATCATACAGGAAGCTCCACACTTGGTTCCTAAATGCCTGCAGGCCTCCCCAGTGTCCTGTACAAAACAACCCCTAAAGCTACCCCTGTCGGGAGGTCAAAGCAGTCCACCAACTCAAGTCAGCTTCTGGCTCACACCTTCTCACAGTTAATGATCTCACTCTGACACAGGAGAAATCCTGCACACCCCCTGGAGGAAGCACTGGGAGCCCCGTGTCAGTGTTTGGAAGAGCTGGAGGAAGGGCTCTGGGGACCCAAGGGCTGGCATGGCACTCCTTGCTTCCAGCGGGTAGACTCTGAGCTGGCCAAGAGGGCAGTCTCACCCTGAACCCTGACTCTGCCCAGGGCTTTGGGAACACAGCCCTAGTGAACGGTGTCTCCCCTAAACTACACTGAGTTCATTCCAATTGAGCTTCTCTTGCTGGGTTTACAGGCAATGTTGAACCACGACCTACTAAAAAATTCAGCGCTGCTTTTAAATACTGATAAAATGATTCAAATTGATGTACAATAGCAGAATTCTGAAATGTCAATGTAGCACTCTGTGTTATAGATTCTATATCTTTTTAGGGAACTTTGCTATGGTTTATTTTTAGGTCTCAAGTTTTAAAAAATATATATAGAATTTAAATCTACAAAACTATCCCTCAGGAGATTTCCCATGGAAAATGAATTTAAAAGACTTCAATGATCAGTCATCCGACTGCCAAAGACTAATAATATCTTTATAAATCCAGAGAGCAGCATACTCCACCTTGAAGCCACCAGCCTGCAAGAATGCAGGCCACAGAAACAGGTTCTGCATTTTGTTAAGCCACAGCAACTTAAAAAAAGAATCAAGGAGTTTGTGTGAAAACATTATTAAGAGTTACATTCAAAGTGTGGCTATTTAGCGATTCCAGGTCTCTCTGTTTTCCAGTGATTTCTTCGTCAGTCATAAATGCAGCAAAGTTACTGTGAACCAAAAGTGCTCATCAAAACAAGATGCAAGCCTCAGGCCAATGGGAATGTCTGCTGCACGCCTTCTGCAGTCATGAGCTCTGAGCCTCCTTTAGACTTACTCCTGTGACTTCTCGTGGGACAGTCACTGCAGTTATCCCAGACTGCTAGCCTTAGGTGTTGGACCAGCTCTCATCCTCCCAGGGACCTGTGTGGAGGGGTGGAGAGCTGCTCCCCACGCAGTCCACTTCCCTGCCCTGCTGAGCCGTGAGGACAGGCAGGTCCAGCCTGGGCTGCAGCACTGGTGTAAAGGTTCAATTGAATTGTCCACTTGATCGGATTAAGAGATGCTGAAGAGCAAGAGCTTCTGGGTGTGTCAGTGAGGGGTGTCTAGGAATGATCGGCATGTGGGACAGTAAACTAAAGTGGAGACCCTCCCCAAGTGTGGGCGGCACTGTCTGGGGGGTTAGAGGCTTGGATGGAATAAGAGAAGAACAAGGGAGCAGCAGCAGATGCAAGCTCCGTTCTTCTTGAATGGGTTCTTGATCGCTGCCATGGTCAGCTGAGGACATCAGACTCTTTCCTTCACTCTTCCAAAGTGGACTCTGCCAGTGACTCTCAGGGAGCTCCCAGAAGCCCTTGGCCTTGGGCAGGGGCAGCACCATTGATCCCTCTTGTTCTGTGGCTTCAGTCTCTTGGACTGCAAGCTCCTGGTTCCTCCAGCTCTCCAGCCTGCAGCTGGCCACTGTGGACTGTCCAGCTTCTCGTCGTGTGAGCCAATCTAATAAATCCCCTTTCTATAATCATACCTCCTGTTGATTCTGTCCCTCTAGAGAACCCTGACGAATACCACAGAAGGGTCTTCTGCCAGGCAAGCTGGGAAATCATGGTTGGAGAAGAACAGCTTCCACTACGTGCTCTGAGGCCTGGTCCCCAGCACTGACACCTTCAGGTGTCTGCAGAGAGCCACCACCTCACACGTTTACAAAATATTCCCATTTGGATAATGTTCTTTCTTAGGGAAAAAAAAATCTCTTAGTAATCTAAGAAAGGCTGTCATGTGCAAAAATAAGGAGAGTGTTTTCACACATACATGCAGTAAAAAGAATAGGCTGACAAATGCCCTCATTTTATTAACTGTATTTATTTGCAGTCACCTGGAAAGAAAGGGAGGCTAAGGCTGCATCCTTGCTTAAACTAATCTCTGTGACTCAATTGAGGAGAAAAGTTAATTAACGCTGAACTTCCTGAAGTGCTTAATGGACCCACATTTTAAAACATGGCCTGTTACTTAAGAATGAAATCTAGGGTGTGTGTGTGTGTGTGTTTAGTTTTTAAACCATTTATATATATATATATATATATATATATATATATATATATATATATATATATATATATATATGTCATTCTTTATAGTTGCTGTTGGTTTCAAATTGATTTGTTCACCCCTTCTTCTATTTAATTCACTCCATTCCTCCCACATGTTAAGTTTTATTATCAAGCTGTT